GGAGAGTGTATAAATCTGTAGGGGAAGGAAGGCGGTTGGAGGGAGGGGGTAAAGGAGGTTTTGTGGGCTAGGGGCTTGGACTTCCAGAAAGCGTGCGTGAGCGTGTTGGATAGGAATGAATTGAGACAAATGGTATTTGGGACCTGACGATCTGTTGGAGTGTGAGCAGGGTAATATTTAGTGAAGGGATTCAGGGAAACCGGTTATTTTTATATAGCCGGACTTGAGTCCTGAAAATGGGAAGTACAATGCCTGCATTCTAAAGGAGGGGTTTGGGATATTGGCAGTTTGGAGAGATATATTGTGTATTTTTATACGTATATACTTTTAAACTGATGTATTCTGAGCACCTCTGCAAAAAAAGTGATTATGTGTGAGTGAGGTGAAAGTGTTGAATGATGAAAGTATTTTCTTTTTGGGGATTTTCACCATGCCTCGGTGGGAGACGGCCGATTTGTTGAATATATATATATTATATATATATATATATATATATATATATATATATATATATATATATATATATATATATATATATATATATATATAGGGGTGGAGTTGAACGATAGCTCTGGGCCTTTCATGTTGCAAACACATCAGTAGCTTGCAATGTTGCAGAAGAGTAAGTCCAAACAGATACGATCAGAGGAACCGCTGTCATGTATGAATCCTGGTCGAGTCACAAGACACTTGTAGTTCGTGTGATGAGCAGCACTACGGTGCTCTTCACACCAAGGCTGAGGGACTGATTACCTCATCTTTTGTATATAGTTCTACTGTCTTCAAATTGTCCTAGAATTTGTATTGATAAGTCACTGGATGGCGAAACGTCTACATTAAAGACACCCATTATAATAATCCTGGGGGAGAGCCAAACTTGTAGGATTATACAGCGCCTATGGGGGGGGGGATGGAAGGTATTCAGGCTCAGTTCAGGGAACTGGAGCACAGATCCAATTCCCTAGATCAAGAGCCCCTCATCAGCGTCAAGGAACCTCCCTTGAGGGGGTAAAGATACCTAGATGTTGGATATTTGTCTAATTTTCACCAATACCTGGAGTTTACCTGGAGAGAGTTTCGGGGGTCAACGCCCCCGCGGCCCGGTCTGTGACCAGGCCTCCTGGTGGATCAGCGCCTGATCAACCAGGCTGTTGCTGCTGGCTGCACGCAAACCAACGTACGAGCCACAGCCCGGCTGATCAGGAACTGACTTTAGGTGCTTGTCCAGTGCCAGCTTGAAGACTGCCAGGGGTCTGTTGGTAATCCCCCTTATGTGTGCTGGGAGGCAGTTGAACAGTCTCGGGCCCCTGACACTTATTGTATGGTCTCTTAACGTGCTAGTGACACCCCTGCTTTTCATTGGGGGGATGGTGCATCGTCTGCCAAGTCTTTTGCTTTCGTAGTGAGTGATTTTCGTGTGCAAGTTCGGTACTAGTCCCTCTAGGATTTTCCAGGTGTATATAATCATGTATCTCTCCCTCCTGCGTTCCAGGGAATACAGGTTTAGAAACCTCAAGCGCTCCCAGTAATTGAGATGTTTTATCTCCGTTATGCGCACCGTGAAAGTTCTCTGTACATTTTCTAGGTCGGCAATTTCACCTGCCTTGAAAGGTGCTGTTAGAGTGCAGCAATATTCCAGCCTAGATAGAACAAGTAACCTGAAGAGTGTCATCATGGGCTTGGCCTCCCTAGTTTTGAAGGTTCTCATTATCCATCCTGTCATTTTTCTAGCAGATGTGATTGATACAATGTTATGGTCCTTGAAGGTGAGATCCTCCGACATAATCACTCCCAGGTCTTTGACGTTGGTGTTTCGCTCTATTTTGTGGCCAGAATTTGTTTTGTACTCTGATGAAGATTTAATTTCCTCATGTTTACCATATCTGAGTAATTGAAATTTCTCATCGTTGAACTTCATATTGTTTTCTGCAGCCCACTGAAAGATTTGGTTGATGTCCGCCTGGAGCCTTGCAGTGTCTGCAATGGAAGACACTGTCATGCAGATTCGGGTGTCATCTGCAAAGGAAGACACGGTGCTGTGGCTGACATCCTTGTCTATGTCGGATATGAGGATGAGGAACAAGATGGGAGCTAGTACTGTGCCTTGTGGAACAGAGCTTTTCACCGTAGCTGCCTCGGACTTTACTCTGTTGACGACTACTCTCTGTGTTCTGTTAGTGAGGAAATTATAGATCCATCGACCGACTTTTCCTGTTATTCCTTTAGCGCGCATTTTGTGCGCTATTACGCCATGGTCACACTTGTCGAAGGCTTTTGCAAAGTCTGTATATATTACATCTGCATTCTTTTTGTCTTCTAGTGCATTTAGGACCTTGTCGTAGTGATCCAGTAGTTGAGACAGACAGGAGCGACCTGTTCTAAACCCATGTTGCCCTGGGTTGTGTAACTGATGGGTTTCTAGATGGGTGGTGATCTTGCTTCTTAGGACCCTTTCAAAGATTTTTATGATATGGGATGTTAGTGCTATTGGTCTGTAGTTCTTTGCTGTTGCTTTACTGCCCCTTTGTGGAGTGGGGCTATGTCTGTTGTTTTTAGTAACTGAGGGACGACCCCCGTGTCCATGCTCCCTCTCCATAGGATGGAAAAGGCTCGTGATAGGGGCTTCTTGCAGTTCTTGATGAACACAGAGTTCCATGAGTCTGGCCCTGGGGCAGAGTGCATGGGCATGTCATTTATCGCCTGTTCGAAGTCATTTGGCGTCAGGATAACATCGGATAGGCTTGTGTTAATCAAATTTTGTGGCTCTCTCATAAAAAATTCATTTTGATCTTCGACTCTCAGTCTGGTTAGCGGCTTGCTAAAAACTGAGTCATATTGGGACTTGAGTAGCTCACTCATTTCCTTGCTGTCATCTGTGTAGGACCCATCTTGTTTAAGTAGGGGCCCAATACTGGGCGTTGTTCTCGATTTTGATTTGGCATAGGAGAAGAAATACTTTGGGTTTCTTTCGATTTCATTTATAGCTTTTAGTTCTTCCCGCGATTCCTGACTCCTAAAGGATTCTTTTAGCTTAAGTTCGATGCTTGCTATTTCTCTGACCAGTGTCTCCCTGCGCATTTCAGATATATTGACCTCTTTTAACCGCTCTGTTATTCTTTTCCGTCGCCTGTAAAGGGAGCGCCTGTCTCTTTCTATTTTACATCTACTCCTCCTTTTTCTTAGAGGAATAAGCCTTGTGCATACATCGAGTGCCACCGAGTTAATCTGTTCTAGGCATAAGTTTGGGTCTGTGTTGCTTAGTATATCTTCCCAGCTTATATCGGTTAGGACTTGGTTTACTTGGTCCCACTTTATGTTTTTGTTATTGAAGTTGAATTTGGTGAATGCTCCCTCGTGACTAGTCTCATTTTGTCGGTCTGGGGCTCCTCGCATACATGTCTGAACCTCAATTATGTTGTGATCTGAGTATATTGTTTTTGATATGGTGACATTTCTTATCAGATCATCATTGTTAGTGAAGATGAGGTCTAGTGTATTCTCCAGTCTAGTAGGCTCTATTATTTGCTGGTTTAAATTGAATTTTGTGCAGAGATTTAAAAGCTCGTGTGAGTGTGAGTTTTCGTCAGAGCTGCCTCCTGGTGTTATTACTGCAACAATATTATTTGCTATATTCCTCATTTTAGGTGCCTTAAGTTGAAATCCCCCAGGAGCAAGATGTTGGGTGCAGGAGCTGGAAGATTTTCCAGACAGTGGTCAATTTTTAACAGCTGTTCCTGGAATTGCTGGGATGTTGCATCCGGAGGCTTGTAGACTACCACAATGACTAGGTTTTGGTTCTCGACCTTTACTGCTAAAACTTCCACTACGTCATTTGAGGCATTAAGCAGTTCTGTGCAAACAAGTGACTCTGCAATGTACAGGCCAACCCCCCCCCTTTTGCCTGTTCACTCTGTCACATCTGTATAGGTTGTAACCTGGGATCCATATTTCATTGTCCAAGTGATCCTTTATGTGGGTCTCAGTGAAAGCCGCGAACATTGCCTTTGCCTCTGCAAGCAGTCCACGGATGAAAGGTATTTTGTTGTTTGTTTCTGGCTTTACACCCTGTAGGTTTTTCCAGAATAATATGTATCTCCCCTCCTGGTTCAGGAATGGTTTTAACCTCACGGCATTAGTATCTGTATCTGTATATGTTTCAAGCCTTGTGTATCATGTTGTATAAAGTGTATATATCAGTTTTATAAGACTTAGTTTTCGCGTGTATGGCAGAATAATCCTTCAAATGAGCCTAGGTGCTGGTGAGGGCTCTGATCCAAGGAAGTAGACCTGTCCTACCCTTCCCTAAATCGAACCTGACTGCCTTCCTTCTGTATGATCCCCTACGGATTAAGCGCTTTCCCCTGAATACAATAGAATGACAAAACAAATCCACGATCCTTGCGTTGTAAGCCAAGGCCGCAAGATTGACTTAAAAAGCATGACGTGGTTTAGAAAACGTTCCATGTGTCTTATATATATATATGTAGAATAAGACTATTAAGTGTCTCTAGTTCTCATAAATTATCAGAGGGAGATGTTGCTAGTTGGCTGGGCAGGTGTTCGTCCCTAACTCTTATATTACACGTGTGTAGAAACTGTCAGCTGTTCAGAATTCAGTATTTGTTTGTCTTGGGGAAATTCTACGTCATCTGAACTCTTGTGACAATTGCACGTTCGGTTCCAGCTTAAGATCTAGAACATTTATAATGAATATTGCGAGGTTATTCACAAAATAATGAGACTTCATATAGTTTATTTGACATTTCAGAATTGTTAAATAAAACATTAAAGATATAACTTGCTCGTAATTATAATATTTATATCTTAGCTATTTTTATATAGTCAATATTTAGATGAATCGGACAGACGAAGAGTAAACCACCAAGAGATGGCAGCACCAATAATATATTTTGGCCGCGTTAAGAAATACCAAAGATATCAGAATTTTTTCAATAATCCCCCTGAATTGCAGAACACAGTGCCGTGATTGGTGGAAACATCTCCCACGGCCTCAGAGGAGCTCTGTGATTGGTGAAGACCTCTGAGTGAGCTACGGACTCTGAATTCTGCAGATCCACTGAACACGCACTATATTTTGTTTCCGGCCACGTATTTTAGCAGAAGACGCGGCGAGCCTGTCAAAAAGTACCGTCCTGGCGCATTACCTAGCCACTTTACCCGGCCAAGAGGGAGATAACTATGTGCAGCTGATGCCCTGGGAGTGAGGAGGGCGCCCGTGAAGCACACAAGATGGAGATAGTGTGGTTAACTATGGTGGTAGTGATGGCTAGCTGGCTGCCTCCCACCGCTGCGGTTGAACTAACGTTTGAACTCCCCGATAATGCTAAAGAATGTTTTTACGAGGAAATTGAGAAGGGGACAGAGTCGACGCTTGAGTTCCAGGTGTGGTGGCGAGGGAAATATCCCTCTCGAGTGGTTTATGTCAGCATGGTTTGGGTTTATGTGGTTTGTTTCTCAGTGTGATTGACCTGACGTTATCTGTTTATTTGCAGTGTAAACGTTAAATCTTCCTTTCTTACATCCAGGTTCACTTCCGTAATATAGCAAACGTTATATTATTGTCTTCTTGCATTATTAGTGTTATATATGGCTACCAGCTGTAATATTAACCAACTGTTCATGCTATAACAGCCATCTGGATTACATATGCTGTGTATGTCTTTAAAATTAAAATCTAAATACTCTTCATTTAAGGGAGGTGCAGCAATGTACTTCCCTTACAGATTTAGTGCTTTCCATTAATGTATCAAAGGTGGGGGGGGAGTTGCCCTGCCTTGATACCAGTGATAGGCTCTTGATTTACAGAATTAAATCAATTCTTGATTTCAACCTGATTACCCTCCCCCCCCTCCCCCACCCACCTCTCATTCTCCAAACACTATAGTGAAGGGCTTTTGGTTGTGCCTCAAATGGTAGTGGCCTCTTCACACAGGGACCAGGAGTCAGTCCCTGAATGAATGTAAGCTTGGGCATGTTTCCATTCACCTGCTGCCCCTGTTCGCTTAGCAGTATGTAGGTGCCTGGGTGTTAATTGACTGGTGTGTGTTGCATCCTGGAGAAGAGAATTATAAGACCTCGGTGGAAAGAAGTTGGGCAGTCTAATGACAGGGGATTTATTGGGTTATCCTGGGCGGATAACCCTCTGGGTTAATAAGCCAAAGTATCTTTATTCATATTTGTAATGATAGTGCTACGATTCCTAATTAAATTATACGGATTTAGCACCTTTGTTTTTGCATAGATCATTTATTTGGACTATCCCAGAGGGTTAGTAACCCATAATAATTGAAGGATATGACCCATGACAGAGGTAACAGGTGTAAAGGAAACATGTGCCAGGTGTGGAGAAATTTATCTCCAAGGGGGTGAAGCCCCATCTCTCTTATGTTCCCACACAGGCAGTGCAGATAATAATATTTTGTGAGCAGGGTAATATTTTTGTACTTCCCACCTCCAGGACTTGAGTCCTGGAGGTGGGAAGTACAATGCCTGCACTTTAACCCGTAAATGGTCCAAACGTATATATACGTTTTTTCAACATTTGAAATTTTTTTTTTTTTTTTTTTTAACAAGTCGGCCGTCTCCCACCGAGGCAGGGTGACCCAAAAAAAAGAAAGAAAATCCCCAAAAAGAAAATACTTTCATCATCATTCAACACTTTCACCACACTCACACATTATCACTGCTTTTGCAGAGGTGCTCAGAATACAACAGTTTAGAAGCATTTTACGTATAGAGATACACAACATATCCCTCCAAAACTGCCAATATCCCAAACCCCTCCTTTAAAGTGCAGGCATTGTACTTCCCATTTCCAGGACTCTAAGTCCGACATATGAAAATAACCGGTTTCCTGAATCCCTTCACTAATATTACCCTGCTCACACTCCAACAGATCGTCAGGTCCCAAGTATCATTCATCTCCATTCACTCCTATCTAACATGCTCATGCACGCTTGCTGGAAGTCCAAGCCCCTCACCCACCAAAACCTCCTTTACCCCTCTTTCCAACCCTTTTGAGGACGACCCCAACCCTCTTTCCTTCCCTATAGATTTATATGCTTTCCATGTCATTCTACTTTGATCCATTCTCTCTAAATGACCAAACCCCCTCAACAAACCCCTCTTCTGCCCTCTGACTAATGCTTTTATTAACTCCACACCTTCTCCTAATTTCCACACTCCGAATTTTCTGCATAATATTTACACCACACATTGCCCTTAGACAGGACATCTCCACTGCCTCCAACCGTCTCCCCTCAACGCACCACTCACCTTTTTTCCCTCATCAATTCTATGATTAACCTCATCCTTCATAAATCCATCCGCCGACACGTCAACTCCCAAGTATCTGAAAACATTCACTTTTCCATACTCCTCCTCCCCAATTTGATATCCAATTTTTCTTTATCTAAATCATTTGATACCATCATCACCTTACTCTTTTCTATGTTCACTTTCAACTTTCTACCTTTACACACATTCTCAAACTCATCCACTAACCTTCGTAATTTTTCTTTAGAATCTCCCATAAGCACAGTATCATCAGCAAAAGTAACTGTGTCAATTCCCATTTTGAATTGATTCCCCATAATTTAATCCCACCCCTCTCCCGAACACCCTAGCATTTACTTCTTTTACAACCCCATCTATAAATATATTAAACAACCATGGTGACATTACACATCCCTGTCTAAGACCTACTTTTACCGGGAAGTATTCTCCCTCTTCTCACACCCTAACCTGAGCCTCACTATCCTCATAAAAGCTCTTTACAGCATTTAGTAACTTACCACCTATTCCATATACTTGCAACATCTGCCACATTGCTCCTCTATCCACTCTATCATATGCCTTTTCTAAATCCATAAATGCAATAAAAACTTCCCTACCTTTATCTAAATACTGTTCACATAAATGCTTCAATGTAAACACTTGATCTACACATCCCCTACCCACTCTGAAGCCTCCTTGCTCGTCCGCAATTCTACATTCTGTCTTACCTCTAATTCTTTCAATTATAACCCTACCGTATACTTTTCCTGGTATACTCAGTAAACTTATTCCTCTATAATTTTTACAATCTCTTTTGTCCCCTTTCCCTTTATATAAAGGGACTATACATGCTCTCCGCCAATCCCTAGGTACCTTCCCCTCTTTCATACATTTATTAAACAAAAGTACCAACCACTCCAACACTATATCCCCCCCTGCTTTTAACATTTCTGTCATGATCCCATCAGTTCCAGCTGCTTTACCCCCTTTCATTCTACGTAATGCCTCACGTACCTCCACCACACTTACATTCTGCTCTTCTTCACTCCTAAAAGATGGTATACCTCCCTGCCCAGTGCATGAAATTACCGCCTCCCTTTCTTCCTTAACATTTAAAAGTTCCTCAAAATATTCTCGCCATCTACCTAATACCTCCCTCTCCCCATCTACTAACTCCCCTACTCTGTTTTTAACTGACAAATCCATACTTTCCCTAGGCTTTCTTAACTTGTTTAACTCACTCCAAAATTTTTTCTTATTTTCATTAAAATTTCTTGACAGTGCCTCTCCCACTCTTTCATCTGCTCTCCTTTTGCACTCTCTCACCACTCTCTTCACCTTTCTTTTACTCTCCATATACTCTGCTCTTCTTATAACACTTCTGCTTTGTAAAAACCTCTCGTAAGCTACCTTTTTCTCTTTTATCACACCCTTTACTTCATCATTCCACCAATCACTCCTCTTTCCTCCTGCCCCCACCCTCCTATAACCACAAACTTCTACCCCACATTCTAATACTGCATTTTTAAAACTATTCCAACCCTCTTCAACCCCCCCACTACTCATCTTTGCACTAGCCCACCTTTCTGCCAATATTCGCTTATATCTCGCCCGAACTTCCTCCTCCCTTAGTTTATACACTTTCACCTCCCTCTTACTTGTTGTTGCCACCTTCCTCTTTTCCCATCTACCTCTTACTCTAACTGTAGCTACAACTAAATAATGATCCGATATATCAGTTGCCCCTCTATAAACATGTACATCCTGGAGCCTACCCATCAACCTTTTATCCACCAATACATAATCTAACAAACTACTTTCATTACGTGCTACATCATACCTTGTATATTTATTTATCCTCTTTTTCATAAAATATGTATTACTTATTACCAAATTTCTTTCTACACATAGCTCAATTAAAGGCTCCCTATTTATATTTACCCCTGGCACCCCAAAATTACCTACTACTCCCTCCATAACATTTTTACCCACTTTAGCATTGAAATCCCCAACCACCATTACTCTCACACTTGATTCAAAACTCCCCACGCATTCACTCAACATTTCCCAGAATCTCTCTCTCTCCTCTACACTTCTCTCTTCTCCAGGTGCATACATGCTTACTATAACCCACTTTTCACATCCAATCTTTATTTTACTCCACATAATCCTTGAATTTATACATTTGTAGTCCCTCTTTTCCTGCCATAGCTTATCCTTCAACATATTGCTACTCCTTCTTTAGCTCTAACTCTATTTGAAACCCCTGACCTAATCCCATTTATTCCTCTCCATTGAAACATCCCACCCCCTTCAGCTTTGTTTCACTTAAAGCCAGGACATCCAGTTTCTTCTCATTCATAACATCCACAATCATCTCTTTCTTATCATTTGCACAACATCCACGCACATTCAGACTTCCCACTTTGACAATTTTCTTCTTATTCTTTTTAGTAATCTTTACAGGAAAAGGGGTTACTAGCCCATTGTTCCCGGCATTTTAGTTGACTTTCACAACACGCATGGCTTACGGAGGAAAGATTCTTATTCCACTTCCCCATGGATATAAAAGGAAAAGTAATAAGACCAAGAACTATTAAGATAAAATCAAAGAAAACTCAGATGATTGTGTATAAATAAACGTGTACATGTATGTGTAGTGTGACCTAATTGTAAGTAGAAGTAGCAAGACGTACCTGTAATCTTGCATATTTATGAGACAGACAAAAGACACCAGCAATCCTACCATCATGTAAAACAATTACAGGCTTTCGTTTTACACTCACTTGGCAGGACGGTAGTACCTCCCTGGGTGGTTGCTGTATGTAAAAAAAAGTAGATCTTCTTTTTGTTTTTCTACATTTGAAAATGTGTAAAAAACTTTAATCTACTTTTTTTTTTTTTTTATATTTGAAAAAATGTAAAAAAACTTAGATCTACTTTTGTACCACTACACATGTGAATGTAGATCTGCTTGGACTGTTTACGGGTTAAAGGAGGGGTTTGTGATATTGGTTGTTTGGAGTGACATCTACAATATTATATATGAGCGCCTCTGCAAAGATAGAGATTATGTATGAATGATGGTGAAAGTTTTGAAATGATGAAAGATTTTTTTTTCTTTTTGGGTCACCCTGCCTCGGTGGGAAACGGCTCATGTGCTAAAAAAAATGTTTAATAATTATCTGGTGTCTCCCTACAATCATTTTTAATGCAGTTGTATTCCTTATTATCTGTGAAAGTGCTACTGTATCATTAATTGCATGCTAAATTAAAAATAATGGATGTAATGTTAAATCTAAAATTGCAAAAGTAATTTATTCACTATGTTTACATGAGTTTGAATGTTATTTGCATGCTAATTGGCAGATAATTTTAATAAATGTTAGCCTATTATGATAGGTAGTGACCGGCGGCCACTATGACGTGGACGTTGTTTTGGAGGGACCATCACGGCAGATTCTGTACCGTGAAATGAAACAGCAATACGGCCAGTTTCAATTTACTCCAGAAATCTCGGGCACCTACCAGGTATGTTCGCATGTTTTTGTATTCTTTGTTACCTCTAGGGAGATTCTTGATGCCAGTGAGGGGCTCTTGATCTAAAGGATTGGACCTACTCTCTCCTTCCTTAGATCAAACTTGAAGGTCTCATTTCTCCAGGTGCTGTATGACCCCCAGAATCTACTTTGTTGTACAAGTCTATTTAATTTTTCCATGTCCATTATAGGTTGTTTTGTGTTCAACTGGATAAAAATAGTCTTGGTCTTAGCAGGATGTTTGGTCTATAATCTGTTGCCCCTGTTCACCTAGCAATAAATATGCTGTTGTGTGTTGCATCCTAGGTAAGGACCTAACGATCCCCATTGGCATTTTTTGGTTATCCTGGATTAACACTTCAGGGTTAATCTGATTAGTCTTCTACTTGTACCCCACTCTAGTGATGTACGTCATTAAACTGCTGCAGTGCCAGAATTCACTCGTGAAGGTACGTTAGATATAGCATAATCCTTTCTCTCTTGTCCTCTCTTCCTCTTATTCACTGACAGATGCACTCCACAAAAATTTGTTAATTAAGTTTACGTTAAGCATGCATGATTTTCGCAGACTCCCTCTATGTAACTGGATAATCATTCCTGTAAAAAAAATTCTAGGATGTATCATTTCTGTGGTAAAACCACATTTTTATGGAAGCACCACATACAAATACAAGATATCAACATTAATTAAAACTCGCTCATAAATATATAAATTCGACCCCCCAAATTAGAACGGTACACACTTGCCAATAATGGTTGACTTTTGTAGAGTATATGAGTGGAAGGGAGGAGGGGCAAGAGATAAGTGGGAAAAGGAGGAGAGAAATAGGCTAATTGGAGAAGCAGGATTGAAGATGATTACTCCCTTGTGTTATTAAATGCAGATAGTCCATGAAAGTCAATGTGGCTTTATTTCTGTTAGGACCCTTTGGCATTCTTTTCCTATATTTTGCCTACAACAGTTGGCTAATGCCCAGGTATCTGTTTTCTGCTAAATGAACAGATGCATAAGCGTTAGGAGACTTTTCCCATATCTCACCCCAGCGCAGGATTGAACCTTCAGTTGCGAGTGAAATGTACTATTTTTTCACCTGTTAATACGTAGGAAGGGTGTTGGTGTCATTTGATAGAATGAAAGACATACTACTGAAATAGAGATGATTTTTGTTGGTTTCAGAATGGAAGTAACTTGAAATCAGGCTCAAAGTAGCAGAAATGTTATATTTTTTAGGATTTTCCTGAGAACTCTTATTGGTTTTTATTAAGTCTGATTCACTTGTTGGGATGCTGTAAACCATGACTAATCATTCCTGGTTATATTTCATTATCTGAGAAATAGGGTAATTTTTTTTTTCTTCATGATAATGCATTTAAAATGGATGGCAGATGTAATACTGGAGAGGCTTTAGTGCCTGGAATGTCTACTGTATTTATTTTGGACTGCTTTTTTTTTTTTTTTTTTTTTTTTTTTAATTAATTTTGTGTAAGTCACCAAATTACTGATTTCTGCACACCTATAGTTTTGATGAATGAGTGATTTCTTATGCTTAAGCAGGCATACTAGCAGAGCAGCTTACTCTTCTCCTTTGTAATTCTATAAATTTTCCATCAGATTTTGTATTTGTGATGTCATTACCTTCAGAGAAAGATTCTCTTCCATTTCAGAAGAAAACTAATTAAAAAAATGCTAACACTGTGAGCACTTAATTTCAGGGCTTCCAACAGTGAAGGGGTTTGATTTTATTTAAACAGTATTTAGATTAGGGTAAAGAGGTTTTTGTGGCATTTATGGATTTAGAAAAGGTGTGTGACAGGGTGGATAGAGGGGCATTGTGGTAGATGTTGCAAATGTATGGAATAGGAGGTAGGTTATTGTAAGCAGTGAAGAGTTTTTATGAGGATAGTGAGGCTCAGGTTTGAGTATGTAAGAGAGAGGGAGATTTTCCCAGTAAAAGTAGGCCTTAGACAAGGATGTGTGATGTCACTATGGTTGTTCAATATATTTGTAGATGGGGTTGTAAGAGAAGTGAATGCTCAGGTGTTGGCAAGAGGTATGGGGTGGGGTAAAATATAAAGAATTAACACAAAGTGGGAGTTGTCACTGTTGCTCTTTTCTGATGACACTGTGCTTTTGTGAGATTCTGAAGAAAAGTTGCAGAGGTTAGTGGATGAGTTTGGTAGAGTATGTAAAGGAAGAAAATTAAAAGTGAATATAGGAAAGAGTAAGGTGATGAGGATAACAAAAAAATAGGTAACGAAAGATTAGATATCAGATTGGAGGGAGAGGGGTATGGAGGAGGTGAATATATTCAGATATTTAGGAGTAGACATGTCAGCAGATGGGTCTATGAAAGATGATGAAGGGAAAAGAGCAAGTGGTGCATTGAGGAGTCTATGAAGACAAAGAACTTTATTCATGGTAGCAAAGAGGAGAATGTATGAGAATATAGTTATACCAATGCTCTTATATGGGTGTGAAGCATGGGTGGTGAATGTTGCAGCAAGAAGGCTGAAGGAAGTGGAAATGTCGTGTGTGAGGGCAATGTGTGGTGTGGATATGCAGAGAATTCGTAGTTTGGAAACTAGGAGGAGGTGCAGGATTACCAAAACTATTACCCAGAGGGCTGAGGAGGGGTTGTTGAGGTGGTTTGGACATGTAGAGAGGATGGAACAAAATAGAATGACTTTGTATAAATCTGTAGTAGAGGGAAGGCGGGGTAGAGATCAGCCTAGGAAAGGTTGGAGGGAGGGGGTAAAGGAAGTTTTGTGTGAGGGGCTTGGACTTCCAGCAAGCATGCGTGAACATGTTAGATGGGAGCGAATGGAGACAAACCATTTTTAGGACTAGACGTGCTGTTGGAGTGTGAGCAGGGTAATATTTATGAAGGGATTCGGGGAAACCAGTAGGCCGTACTCGAGTCCTGGAGATGGGAAGTATAGTGCCTGCACTCTGAAGGAGGGGTGTTAATGTTAGTTTTATAACTGTGAAAGCTCGCCTTTGGCAAGGCAGTGATGGAGTGAATGATGGTAATGCAATTGGGCTGATGTGTTAATAATAAAAATAATAATAATAATTAAACTTGTACAGTTGTACTATTCTTGTTAGTAATTTCTGTACATGGGGCTGTCCTGTGGATCAGGGTTCTCACTGACTTGACAAGCTCTGTGATTTCTGCTGAAAGTACACATCAAGAGTATGGAGCTTTTTAAGGTGTAAAGCTATAGTTTACATAAGAGCAGTATTTCTGATGCCTGCTGGTTGCAGGTTAAATAGTTTTCATTATCATACAAAAACTTTAAAAAAATTTAATTTTATTTGATGAGGGATTCTCGGGTTATAAATGAATTTACATCAAAATGGGATGAAAAAAAATTCAGGTAACAACTTAAAGGTTCCTCTTCAGGGATACCTAATGATAATGCAAAGTGCCTGAGGAATGAAAGACAATCAGGTTTGATCCAAGGAAGGCCAGAGTATCTCCAGTTTCTTGGAACAGGTTGACAGAAGTGATTGTTGACTGAAATTTGTACAAATGTGTCTTCAGTTCATGAAAGGATTTCCCTTTACATGTCAGCTACTGTCTTGTGACTTTAGCATTTTATTTTTGTAATTTCATGTCTACTTACAAAAATGGAATTATTCAATTGTGTTAGAATAAGTTGTTGCATTTTTATTTTTTTTAGCAATCATATAGTATAAATGATATATTTTACAGGTGTGCTTCAGTAATGAGTTTTCAACGTTTAGTCACAAACTCATATACGTAGATTTTCAAGTTGGTGATGAGCCTCGGTTACCTGGTGTGGGAGAACAATTTACTGCTATGACTCAGGTGAGTTAAAAGTTAATGAATCTTACAGCATTTTTCTTCCCCTTCAAATATTGTGTTCCAAGGCACTGACACTTTCTCCTGCTTCAATCATCTAGATAATAGAGCATAGCCCTCAGTCAAAACCTTAGTAGATATTTCTCTGCAGCTAGGCTTGAGCATTGACAAAAATTCTTCTATCTCCCTTTCCCTCTCACTCGCACACTTGCATGTGCACACACTGCAGTGGATCCAAGAATATCTTAGGGGAAGGAAGCAGAGAGTGACTGTCAGGAAAGATATCAGAATGGGGAAGAGTAACTAGCAGGATTCTCTAAAGATTGGTTTTAGAACCAGTACTGTTTTTGGTTCATGTGACTGTCATTCCAGATGGGATTGATTCAGATATATCCTGTTTCCTGATGTAAAACTAACGAGAATAAAAATAGATGAGAACAAAGACTCCAATGGATCTAGACACATTGCAAGAATTGTCAGATAGGTGGTTGATTAAATTAGTATATGCAAAGTAATGAAGATTGGGAAAGGAGCAAGAAGATTCAGAAATGGGGTATAGACTAGGGGAAGAGGCTCCAGACTTCACTCATAGTGAAAGACTTAGGGGTGAGTATAGTGCCCAGTATAATACCAGACTCGTATCAGCTGAATAACCTCTTCAGTCAGTGTTCGTCTGGCAAATCTAAAAATAGCCTTCATGCATCTTAACCATCATTCGGGGTTCTTTATTAGCCCTTTGAGGGTTTTGGACATACTAGTACGGCTTACGACCCAGGATTTTTGACGTACTAGTACGCCTAAATTCTAGCGCCCTCAAATCTAGTAGGAGAAAGCTGGTAGGAAAGAATGGGTCTATGTGGTCAGTGTGCACAGTCTAAAAAAAATCCTGCAACACACAGTGAATAATGAGAAAAAAAAAACTGACCATTTTTTTGGAATAAAACAGCGACTTTGCACTGTATGTTTGTATGGTATTTATTGTTGTATTCTAGTTTTCTTGGTCTCATTTTATAGAATGGAAGACATATTACAGAAATTGAGATGATTTTGACTGGTTTTACAATGAAAGGTACCTTGAAATTGAGCTCAAAGTAGCAGAAATGTTCGATTTTTTCCAAATTTCAAAAGTAAACAAATCGTGCCAAGCGTCCAATACACGTCAACTAGTGAGTCTAATATTCTTTCACAAGTGCGCCAATAATATTTATACCATTTTTTACACTAATGCAGTAGTCTGCATAACAGTAAATCTTATAATTTTTTGTGAGAATAAAAATTCAAAGTGGAAAGCAAAAGAATATAAGAGAGGCCTTGAGACGTGACTAATAACCAGAGGAAATGTCATTTTAGTGCCAGGAATGTCTTTCTTGTTTATTCTGAACCCTATTCGGAAATTGGCATCTTTTGAAATTTGTGTGAAATTGGCAAAATTGCTAAATTCTGACCACTGTACTGGATAGTTGAATTTCATAAATGGGTGGTTTCTTGCACCCATTCGATAGAAAAAAATGGAGTTCTAGCGAAATATTCATGTTTTTTGTCGATTAGTACAGTGGAATTGGACGAAAATGGGGCTCAAAGTGAGCAAAATCGCTGATGCGTAAACATCGCCGAGACCGCTAATTTTGCGAGAGCATAATTCCGTAAGTTTTCCATCAAATTTCAAACTTTTGGTGTCCTTATGATCGGGAAAAGATTCTCTATCTTTTCATAAGAGAAAATTATTTTATTTTTTTTTTTTTAAATTTGGCCGACCCTGAGAACGAGTTTCGGAGAGGGCCTGTCGACCCTCAAAGGGTTAAGCATACGTTAGGCCCATCTTGGAGTATGCAATACCAGTATGGACCTGTGCCTAAAAGAGTATGTTAAGAAACTGGAGAAAAACAGAAGTTTGCAGCTAATTTTGCTCCAGAGCTAAGGGGCATGAGCTATGAGGAAAGGCTAACGGAATTTGGTTTAACAACATTAGAGTACAGAAAACCCAGGGAGTACATAATAACATACAAAATACTCGGAGGAATTGATAAGGTAGACAGAGATAGATTGTGAGGCAAGAAGTGGAAACTTGGGGACACTGCTGGATGTTAGTCACAGATGAGCCACAGGAATGTTAGAAAGTATTTCTTCAATCAGAATGGTTGGGAAGTGGAATGATCTTGGCAAGGAAGTATTAGTGACAGGCTTCATACATAGTTTTAAGAGCTGGTACTATCATACCTGCATGAATCTGAAGTGCCAAGAGGCACAGCCAGGATCTGGTAATCAACCTCTGCAACCACAAACAGGAGAGTTCAAATAGGCAAGCACAGTGATTAAATGAATGACAGTGAAGCGTTTCCTCCTTTTCAGGTCACCCTACCTCAGTGGGAGATGGCTGTTGAGAAGTAGACATTGACCTGGCCTCATAGAAAGGATTTTTGGCTGTAATAAAATGATTTAACACAGAAATGTCAGTTTGTTCCAACAGTCAGCATCTTTAGATTGACTCTCCTGTTGATCAGAGGTACTGCTGTCTTTGTTCTCAGTCTTTACCATCCTGCAATGTTCCTCTGGATGATTTCCTCTAGCATTCCCACCTCTGATGCTGATAGTCTTATTTTAACTGAAACTATTTTTTTTACAGACTGTGACTGCCTCCTTTTGCTTACTTTCAGTACTGCTTTTCCTTTTACATTTTAGGCTTAGCCCTTTTTAGTAAGTAGTAGGCACCAGACAAGCCTGGCCCATGGCCAGGTCGTGGAAGTAGGAAAACTCTTGAACTCGGTTACAGGTATATCACAAGCATAAAATAATCCTTCATTCTCTTTACATTTGTAGAGAAATTTAATGTTTTACATTAATGTAAAGAAATTGTCCTGCAACAGGAACATCCTACATAGTTTTATTTGGCTTAATTCTGATTCAAACACTTGTTTTTGAAAGACTGGAAAGAATACAATACTGTATGTAATCTTCAAAAATTTTATTTTTGAATTATAAATACTGTAGTGGTTAATTTGATTTCCCACAGATGGAGTCCTCATCACAAAAGATTCACGAGGACCTAAACTCTGTCATAGATTACCAAACTCATCACCGCTTACGTGAAGCTCAAGGTCGCAAGAGTGCAGAAGATCTCAATGAACGTGTTCTCTTCTGGGCAGTTGGGGAGACTTTAGGAATTCTTGTTATTGCTGTTGGTCAGGTGATGGTTTTGAAGAATTTCTTTGCGGACAAGAAGACAAATCAAGCTGCCTATTGAACTCTGTTGAATCCACTAGAACAGCAACGTACTTCTCAAGGACAAACATGCCAGCTACAGATTAAATATTTTGCAACATTATTCTGACTTAACACAGGTATGCCATAGCTACCTATTCAGAGTAAATTATAAAAAGGATCGAAATATAATTACATTTAAGTTTAAATTGCCTGCATGAATTTGCATATTGGTATCCATGTTACTTTTTTTTAAAGTTCAGTTAGATTCACCCTTTCTATAAGCTTCTCCTATGTTGCCCTAGAAACCTAACCCTAAGTATCTGTACTTATCATGTTTACCACACTTTCCATACTACTCCATTTTAAATAGATTTTCATGCCAATATTTCTTTGGGATTCATAAGTGAATGCATTAACCTGAGAGTAAACATTTAAGAACTGTGAAGGTAATTTTTTTTTCTTCTATGATTTTGAGTAGGAATGTCACAGTTCAAAAAAAATACAAATTTTTATTAGTGTGAAAATCTCTGTGGGGTTCTCTTTTCACAATAGAAACTAGTTACCACAAATGTATATCTGGGCATGTAGCTAAAAATAGTGATGTAAGCACATGGGATTACATCGCTGACACCTGTGACGTCCGACCATTGTTATGTCAAACATCATGGCGACGTATACCTACAGAAGACTAACAATAATCTTGGCTAATAGAACTACTTAATTTATGTAGTGGTAATTTGTAAATTTATTACAGTACTGTCATTTCTTTTTAATCCTGTATACTGAAAAAAAAAAAATTGAATACCTGTTGATCTTTGAGAAGATGTAAATTTTAAGGATAATTTGGTAAAACAGATTTTTCTGCCTGCCAGTAATAATTTATAGACTGTTATTAAATAATAACAAAGTAGGAAAACTGCTCTCTGGAACCTACAAAGTACCAAGACATTCAACTTCTCAACTATACGATAATATGCAGATAAATTTCGCTAAAAATAATTTTACCAAAAAAATCTTGACAAGCTCTGCCAACCAGGTGTAAAAGCAGGTACACTTTTGATGTTACTAACCTCTAAATATTTCTCGTTAATTAAGCCATTGAAATTTTTGTTTACCTGTTAGTAACTAAATATGAAATAAATTTATCAAAGTTTGAAGTGCTCAGTTTAAGAATTAAATTTACACATTACCATTAAAAATTAGATTGGTTCCATTAAGTGAAAATGCCATTAGTCTTCTAAAGTAATGTGTGAGCTTATGCTAAACTTGAAATTACTTTTCTAAATCTGTGGCAATGAGTGGCTAGATCTGATGCTATTATGCTGCACATTTATGGGACATTTTCTCCCCAGAAATCAGTGATTAGATTAACATGTATTAAAATAAGTGGGCAGGCATTTATCAAAGAATTTATTCTGAAAATGTCAGTGATCCTCTTGAATTTTATTTGAAATGATGATGCAATTAGCAATCGTGCGAGGCAGTTAGTTAAAGATCAGTTGCATCAACTGTTGCTGTAAGCCACTATTGCTAACATGGCCTCTCTCTGGGTTTGCTATTGTAAATCATTTACTGATTATGTATTGACAACTGTCAGCTTCCATCACCTTTTGGTTTAAGAATATTGATTATTCTTGTATTTGTTGGGAAGAGCTGAACTTACAAGGGTCGTACAGCATCTGGGGAATGGAAAGTAATCTGGTTTGGTCCAGGAAAGGGGAGAGTAGCTGCAGTTCCTTGGATCAACAGCCCAGCATCATGGCATTTCTCCCTTGAAAGGTTTAAACCTTTCAAGGGGAAAAGCTTTAAATTGTGAGAATGAAAGACATTTCTGGTTTACCTTTGTATTTAAGGAAAGTGGGTTTGCAAGCTTCGAAGGTTGAAAGATACCTTCTAGATTATTATAAAGTTAAAGAATATATAGTTTTGGCTGAGCGAGTGATCTGTAAATATGGAAACTTGTTATATTTGAATGGCAGATTTAATTTAAATGCAAGTCAAAGTTGTATTGTACTAACATTTACTTCGTGATTCTAAGATTTGGAAGCTATTTACAGTATGTTGATGTACAAGTGATGTGACTAATTTTACTATAGCCAAGTAAATTTACCATAGGATGGAAGATCTTCAGAAAACTTACTTTGTATTTACGTATACCAGCAAAGAATTGTGAAAGAAGTGTACACAGTTTAGAACATTTCTTAAAGGAATGTTTTGCCAAAAGTGGCTTAATCAGTCCTCAGACTTATGAAGCCACTTGTGAAAAATTCACTTTAATATTTGTCCTGAATTGTACACAAGTGTCCTTTTCCACAGTTTGCTAGTATCAGCATACCATTTACAACCTGTAAAGAATTGTATCAAACATTCTGGCATAAAATATAATTGTAAAAAAATAATGTATGACTTTGTGTGGCTTAGTGTGATACATTATCATTTTGTATGTAATGTAATAAAATATTAGTTTAAAATTTTTCATTTAAATTTCATTTTTACTCCTCAATTATTTTTGGTCTTTTGTAAGATTAAGACCCATATGATACCTGGGTGCCTTTTATTATGAGACAGTGCAAAACAGGCTTACATAGTGGAGCCAGTAGGAGGCAGCAACAAGTGGTAGGTATCACAGCTGGGCAGGATCCATAAGTGGAAGTAAGTCATGTCTATGTGGGTCGAGGTTAGCAGTTTTACATTTCTGTACCAGCATTCCACAGTGCTGCTGTCACAGCCAAGTGTCAGAAGAAGGCATACAATACCAACCAGTTTGTGAGCGAGATGGGCAACACCTGAACATCTGTATGATTATTATAATCAAAAAGAAGTGCTAAGCCACAAGGGCTATACAGCGCTGCCGAACATCTGTATGAGATTTTGCCAGCGCAGCAGGCTTTTTTTCAATCTGATATAGGGACATGTCAGATTTAGTGGAGCCAGTAGAAAAGATGAGTTACAACTGTTATAGACATTACAGATGGGCAATGTCTGCAATTCCCATCCTCTACTTGTTCTATTAGTCAATGACATCATATCCCTTTATTACTGAAAAAGCCTACTGAGCAGGTGAGAAGTTTCTCCAATAAAGATACCAAGGTGTTGTATGTGTCTACCTTTGATGTAATGACACTTGTCTGTCTGACACAGCAACACAATGGAATCCTGGTACAGAGGATATATTCTACAATTCCATTGCCAACCTATGGACATGACCTACTTCCACTAGTGAATCCTGCCTGTGTCAACATCTACAACTCCTGCAATTTGCCTCTTTTAAAGATTTCATTTTAAAAATCTATATTATGTCCCAGTGTTTGATTTAGAAGCCAGCTGTGCAGGTGTAGCATCCCCAATAAATATACCCAGGTGTTACACGTATATGTCTTATTCATTGAGACCCTGGGTGCAAACTTGCTCAGTGTCAAAGATTTTCAAAAAAAAAAAAAAAAAAATTCTTATGAAATGATAATCTTTTTCTGAAGGTAATGAAACCAAAAGTTTGAAATTTGATGGAAAACTTGCAGAATTACTCTTGCAGAGTTGGTGGTCTCAGCGATACTTACACATCAGCGATTTCGCCCACTTTTAACCCTATTTTGGCCAATTCTTTTGTTCCACTTGACCAAACTCAGCTCTTTTGCTAGAACTCCTTTTATTCTATCGATTAAGTACAAGAAACTGCCCATTTACCTATTTCAACTATACAAAAAAAAGTTCAGGAATTACTAATTTGGCCAATTTCACACAAAATTCAAGAAAGGGCAATTTAAAATAGGGGCCAGAATAAACAGTACAGACATTCCTGGCACTAAAAGAACATTTTCTCTGTTCATTAGTCATATCTTGAGGCCCCTCTTACATTACGCTTGCTTTTCATTTTGAATTTTCATTCACAAAAAAAAAAAAAAGATTTACTGTTATTCAGACTACTGCATCATTGTAATAATTGTATAAATAATATCAGCATATTTGTGAATGCATATTAGACCCCGCAGTTGACGTGTATTAGACGCGTAACTATGATTTGTTTACTCCTGAACATCGTTAAAAATCGAATACTTCTGCTATTTTGAGCTCAACTTCAAGACACTTTTAGTTGGTAAACTATTCAAATTCTGTAACATATCTTCCATTCTATCAAATGAGACCAAGAAAACAAGAGTACAGCCATAAATACCATACAAAAATACACTGCAAAGTCACTGTTTTAAACCAAAAACATGGTTGCAGTTTTTTTTATTATGCACTGCTTGACGCAGGATTTTTTATACAGGGCAAACTGACCGTGCAGACCTATTCTCTCATATGCAGGCCTACCAGCTTTCTCCTGCAAGATCTGAAGCCGCTAGAATTTTGGCGGAGTATTATGGGACCAACACTAGCTTCAAAGCCATAATGGGACCAAAACAGAAGGGGTTAATTACTCTTTATATTGAAACAGGTGCTTTGATGTTGATGGACTCTGGATCCAAGGAACTGGAGCTATCCTCCCCTTCCTTTAATCAAACCCGATTACACAAAACCCAAGCTCTGTATAACTCCTACAATTTTAGCACTTTACCATATTTTTTTTTTTTTTTTTTCAACAAGTCGGTCGTCTCCCACCGAGGCAGGGTGACCCAAAAAAAGAAAGAAAATACTTTCATTATCATTCAACACTTTCACCACACTCACACATTAATTATCACTACCCCTCTTTGCATCCCATAGATTTAATGCTTACAAGCATATCTTAAGATCCATTCTCCTCAAATGTACCAACCCCTCAAATCAGGCATTTCTCCCTCTGACTCAATACTTTAAAAAACTCCCTAACCCTTCACTATATTATCCACACTCTGAATTTCTCATAATATTATTCCTCATTTACCCTATCAACACGACATGCACCCTGGTCCAAGCCCCTCGCTGCGCAAAACCACCCCAGTCTTCACACCCTTTCGAAGACCTAGCTCTTTCCTACTATACTTTCATACATTTCCCATTCTTTGACTCCATTCTCTTTTGACCACAAACCTCAACAACCACCTTTTTTGCCCCCTATAATGCTAAATTAACCACATCTCACTAATTCCACACTCTGACACTTACACCCCAAAATCTTGAAAACATTCACTGCCTTCCAATTACTCCCTCCCCCAAGCTTATATCCAATGTTTCTTTACTAAATCCTTTCATACCCTTCACCTTCTTTCCTCATGTCACTTTCAATTTTGACTACACAATTCTCAACGCATCCACTAACCTTTTGTTTTTCTTTAGAAATCATCCCATAAAATCCATCAGCGACAAGTAACTGTGTCGAAACCATTCACTTTGATACCCTCCCCTAAAATTATTTTTAATCCACCCTCTCACCGATACTCTTTTTACATTTACTTCACTTTTACAACCCATCTATAAACTATATAAACCCATTGGTGAATTTCAAATCCCATAAGCACAGTACATCAGCAAAAAGTAACTGTGTCAATTCCCATTTTGAATTTGATTCCCCAAAATTTAATCCCACCCCTCTCCCCGAACACCCTAGCATTTACTTCTTTTTACAACCCCATCTATAAATATATTAAACAACCATGGTGACATTACACATCCCTGTCTAAGACCTACTTTTTACCGGAAGTATTCTCCCCTCTTCTACATACCCTAACCTGAGCCTCACTATCCTCATAAAAGCTCTTTACAGCATTTAGTAACTTACCACCTATTCCATATAACTTGCAACATCTGCCACATTGCTTCTCTATCCACTCTATCATATGCCTTTTCTAAATCCATAAATGCAATAAAAACTTCCCTACCTTTATCTAAATACTGTTCACATATATGCTTCAATGTAAACACTTGATCTACACATCCCCTACCCACTCTGAAGCCTCCTTGCTCATCCGCAATTCTACATTCTGTCTTACCTCTAATTCTTTCAATTATAACCCTACCGTATACTTTTCCTGTATACTCAGTAAACTATTCCTCTATAATTTTTACAATCTCTTTTGTCCCCCCTTTCCCTTTATATAAAGGGACTATACATGCTCTCCGCCAATTCCCTGGTACCTTCCCCTCTTTCATACATTTATTAAACAAAAGTACCAACCACTCCAATACTATATCCCCCCCTGCTTTTAACATTTCTGTCATGATCCCATCATTTCCAGCTGCTTTACCCCCTTTCATTCTAAGTAATGCCTCACGTACCTCCACCACACTTACATTCTGCTCTTCTTCACTCCTAAAAGATGGTATACCTCCCTGGCCAGTGCATGAAATTACCGCCTCCCTTTCTTCCTCAACATTTAAAAGTTCCTCAAAATATTCTCGCCATCTACCTAATACCTCCCTCTCCCCATCTACTAACTCCCCTACTCTGTTTTTAACTGACAAATCCATACTTTCCCTAGGCTTTCTTGACTTGTTTAACTCACTCCAAAATTTTTTCTTATTTTCATTAAAATTTCTTGACAGTGCCTCTCCCACTCTTTCATCTGCTCTCCTTTTGCACTCTCTCACCACTATCTTCACCTTTCTTTTACTCTCCATATACTCTGCTCTTCTTATAACACTTCTGCTTTGTAAAAACCTCTCGTAAGCTACCTTTTTCTCTTTTATCACACCCTTTACTTCATCATTCCATCAATCACTCCTCTTTCCTCCCTGCCCCCACCCTCTATGACCACAAACTTCTGCCCACATTCTAATACTGCATTTTTAAAACTATTCCAACCCTCTTCAACCACCCCACTACTCATCTTTGCACTAGCCCACCTTTCTGCCAATAGTGGCTTATATCTCGCCCGAACTTCCTCCTTCCTTAGTTTATACACTTTCATCTCCCTCTTACTTGTTGTTGCCACCTTCCTCTTTTCCCATCTACCTCTTACTCTAACTTTTAGCTACAACTAAATAATGATCCGATATATCAGTTGCCCCTCTATAAACATGTACAACCTGGAGCCTACCCATCAACCTTTTATCTACCAATACATAATCTAACAAACTACTTTGATTACGTGCTACATCATACCTTGTATATTTATTTATCCCCTTTCATAAAAATATGTATTACTTATTCCAAATTTCTTTTCTACACATTGCTCAATTAAAGGCTCCCCATTTACATTTACCCTGGCACCCCAAATTTACCTACTACACCCCCATAACATTTTTTACCCACTTTAGCATTGAAATCCCCAACCACCATTACTCTCACACTTGATTCAAAACTCCCCACGCAAATTTATTCAACGTTTCCCCGAATCTCTCCCCTCCCTCTACCACTTTTCTCTTTTCCAGGTGCATACACGCTTACAAAAACCCACTTTTCACATCCAGTCTTTATTTTACTCCACATAACCTTAATTTATACATTTGTAGTCCCTCTTTTCCTGCCATAGCTTATCCTTCAACATTAATTGCTACACCTTCTTTAGCTCTAACCTATTTGAAACCCCTGACCAATCCCATTTATTCCTCTCCC